TCTCAGGTATATTAATGTCAAATAAATGAATCTGTTTAAAAGAAAACAAACCCAGGGCACGCCTTTTAAATTATTCAGCATAGCACTATTAATGATGTCTCCCTACAACCCAAAAGTATACTTACAGATGTGAGCCTGTGTTAAACATATGAACCCTGTAGCCAACTTTTTTATCATAGACCAAAGCTTTGTCAGAATTCCTAGTCTACAATATAAGATTTAATTAGCGCTTTGGGACTATGGTGACATTGGTCAAAAATAAGATCCTATCTTAGATGAATATATGTCTTCCCAGGTATTTGAGTAAAGGCTTGTGCACTGGTAAACACCTAGAATTGAATCAATGGGCACCTAGTTATCCATATATCAAGTTTGATATTATTTAATATAATAATAGAAACAATGTAAAAAAAATCTAAAGATGAAAGTAATTATTAATAAATACTTGTAAATAGCTTTCTCTGCTTTCTTCAGCAATATTTATTCAGAAATAGCAAGATGATATTATTTAATTCATTCACTGGACTAAATAGGAGAACAGCCTTTTAAAGGAGTAGGTATATATTAAAAACACTTATATTAACATAAAACTTTGCTATAAATAAACCTTGAGTCCTAGTTTAGAAAATAACCGTCTTTTGGGTGCTGCATCACCTGAGCTATAAGCCTGCAAAACTTCCCCAGACGAGTAAATTCCCAACATCGCACAGTTTCAACAATCTCAAATCTCAGATGCCAAGAAGATGTGGAAGTCCAAATCATTTTAGAGACGTCATCAATATAACAAGCACAGCAAAGACAAAGGGTTAGGATGAGGAAAGGTGACTGGCTGAACACTAGACCTTGGTGACTACTACCTAATTCATTCCTACTTTGTTCAGTTTGGCAGTGATTGTGCACCCTGTTTTTTTCTGTTTTCTCAGTGATCCTACAACAAATCCCTCTACTCTCACATGAGCAAAGGTGTCCACATGCAATGAACAGTATTATTACTCGCCACTGTCCCAGATAGAGAGGGAGTAGAAACAATAGCCAAGTATGAGGTGGTGGCCAATCACCCACTGCAGACAGCTCCAGCAAAGAGCTTGTAAGATCCTGGCAGATGGCATTTGTCCACAAATTCTGTGCAACTGGTTGCTAAGCACTGAATAAGTCCATCGCTATCAAGCATCTGTGAAAGCTAGAAAGGTCAAATTAACCCCCAAATGGATTTGCAAACTGCAAAAGCATTGTTTAGTGGCTGGAGCAGAGGACTTGGGATGAAAATCCTGGTCCCAGTGAACTCACATGGAACTTCAGGGTCGACTAGAGTCCCACTGACTGTAGTGGAGCCAATACTTTATTTTGGTGATTTTAAGTGTTCTGCCACTTTCTGCAATAACCCATTGGGAAAAATCAACTCACCTGCCTGAACCTTCCTTTCCTCATGTAGAAAATAAGTATATTTACTCATCTTTGTAAAGTATGCTGAGGTTTTCAGTGGAAAAACACTCCACCAGTTGCACAATATTTCTTATTGCTGCTGTTCTTTTTGGACATGACCTAATATATTTGCTTCTTATTAAAGAAACCACATAATCGCTTTTGCAGAACACAGCTAAATATCAGCCATCAACCCAAAAAACCTGCTGACAAACTGCTTTTTTCTCACCTTTCTGTGCTTTGCCACCATTGCACCATCAGGTCCAAACACAGTGCATGTGTTATAAAACTTCCCACCGGCCTGTTCTGGAATGGATCCTTGAATAAGAACAGAACACAGATTTCCAACTCTAACATATGAAATGCTAATCCAGCTGCAGAAAGGAAGAGAGCCACTCTTGCCTGTGCCACTCCCAGAGGGTTGCATTTGAGCAAGATAGACATTAAGAACAAGCTACCTCCAATGAGAAAGATGCCACACTCCTTTGAAACTTCTGAAAGCTTCTGTGTGGATTCCCCAGGAATTTCCTCCGCATATTCACGAAAAAATTTAACACTATATGGAGAATTGAAGCATTCCTATGATTGGGAAATAAAGAAACAAAATTAGAATTTGAAAGGCCCACTAAATGCCTAGATAGGGCCACTGAAACTATTTACCAGGGCCATCCGGGGGTGGGGGGGGCAATTCAGGGTGACCATCTCCGGCCCCACGCTTTGGGGGGGCCCCACAGAGTGGGGCGAAGCAGCAGTGGTGCAGAGCTGGGCAAAGTGGAAGCTCTGTGTCTAGCTGCTCGCTACCACCACCCCACCGCCCCGGGCCTCCACGTCCAGGATCAGAGAGGGGGTGGAATCCCACATGGGCTGATTCGCCCTGAGCCCCACACTCTGCTTAGGTCAGCTCTGCTATTTACTTAGGTTTTTTGTTGTTTTTTTTTTTAAACAGTCCTCAGCATGTAGAATTATGAATGCCCATTGAGGCTAAATACAGACAGACAAAAAGCCTGAGGCTGAACTGATTCAATCTTTGCAGGTTAGCCTAAAATGCCCAGATTGAACTGATAAGCAAGTGAACAGGCACTTACTTCTGATTCCAGGAATGCAGCCATCTGCCTGCAGCAGCCCAGGCCAGAAGCTAGGGGGCACTAGAGCATGCCTCTCTGCTTGGTTGGAGTAGACAACTTGGGCCAAGGTTAGCCCGCCCAACCTCCAAGAGGGGGTTTGCAGGGGAGGTGCTAAGCATCCTGGGATGTTGGGGGACTGTGAGTTAACTTGAATCTGGAGATCTGGGACAGGATTTCAATAAACCAATCTAACTTAAATCAATTAAATCCAATACTACATCTATCCAGGTTTATTTCAAGCTGGTTTTGACCTTTTTAAAAGCAATTTCTGTGCACTGAACTTCTGTTGTGTTACACTCTTGAACCAGTTTATGATCACTTATACCAGTTTATGTGTAATTTCTGTCCCTAGCCTAATTAAGTGACCTCTAGGCTTAACACAAGGAACATAATCAGTGCCAGTACTGATGGCAGTTCAATGGGAATGAATCTCCAATGGAAACTGAATCAGTCACCACCAGCCCATTTCATAGAGCCCAAACTGATGGTAACAAGCTTTGCTCACTTGCCAATCTAGTTGCAATAAGATCCAATAGTCTAGGGTTAATGTATCTGTGCATTTCACAAGGGTTCCCAGCCATCTAGTCCCAAGTGGCTGGTTTGACAAGTTCTGAGCTGTGTGGGTCTTAGCAGGACCAGTGGGGTTTTTGCTTTTGTGCACAGTCCACATTCAAAAAGTGGGTTTTTTTCAATCCAAATTATTTTCTAAAGTATTTCTCCTTCTTCAAGGCCTCCTGAAACAATCTGTTAAATGCTTTATCCACACAATTCTCATGTCCTCGGTCTCTAGTACAAACATCAGTCCATGCCCTGCTCCTACTTGGGAAAGAAAGAAATTGATGATCAAAGGGGTCCCTTTTAGCTTTATGTGCTCCAGGACTCAAACTACTGTTCAGTCTTATCCCACTGATATCTCCTTGGATGTCAGAGTATCATAGTAGCTAGGGTTGGAAGGGACCTAAACAGATCATCAATTCTGACCCCTGCCTTGGGCAGGAATGAATGCTGGGGTCATATGACTCCAGTGAGATGTTTATCCAGCCTCCTCTTAAAGACCCCCAAAGTAGGAGCGAGCACCACTTCCCTTGGAAGTTGGTTCCAGGTCCTACCCGCCCCAACCGTAAAGTAATGCCTCCTGATGTCTAGTCTGAACCTGCTCTCTATCAACTTGTGGCCATTATTCCTAGTTACCCTGGGTGGTGCACAGGGGAACAGGGCATCTCCTATTCCTTGCTGATCCCCCCCCTCCGGTGAATTTGTAGATGGCCACCAGATATCACTTCAGCCTTCTCTTGTGGAAGCTGAATAGGTTCAGGCCCTCTAGTCTCTTCTCATATGGCCTGCCCTGCTGCCCCTGATCATGCCAGTGGCCCTCCTCTGGACCCTCTCTGGACCACATCTCTCTTGAAGTGCAGCACCCAGAACTGGATGCAGTACCCCAACTGTGGCCTGACCAATGCTGCATAGAGGGGGAGAATCACCTCCCTGGACCTGCTTGTGATGCATCTGTGGATGCAAGACAAGGTGCAGTTAGCTTTACTGACAGCTTCCTCACGCTGGCGGCTCACATTCAACCTAGAGTCAACAATGACTCCAAGATCCCTTTCCGCCTCTGTGCAGATGTTCAGAGCATGACGTTCAGAACACGTCAGATGTTCAATCCTGAAATATCATCAGCACAACTAGTGCAGCTAAGACAACAGAATGTGGCACCATCAACCTTCAGCACCAGAGCAATGAACCAAATACCCCAGAACTAGTGTGCCCAAGAGACTGTAAAGCATGACATCAGAGCCACATATGCTTGTGTGATTTGTTACTGCTGTGACTAAATACAATGGCCTGCAAGCTGCATCAGAATTACTGTGACCATCAAGGCCAGCATTTCCTGAAGCAAAAAAAGAACTGTTCTCTAAGGTCAAAACTATTTTTTAAAAGACAGTTACATTTCATACATTTTTAGGCTGGGGGACAGGGATTTAATTCTAATAACTGGATTTAAGTTTCTTAATGTCAATTTTTAAATATTGGTTTTGTCCATGCTGTTTCTGTGTGCAGGACTAAAGGAAAAACTGACAAATCCAGTAGTAAATGTGTAACAGGAAAAATTCTTCCCCTCTCCCCACCGCAGCTCAGCACTTATGCCAGGTGGCGTACAGCCCAGTGCAGCACTACCAGGTATTAGAGGGGGTTGGAGTGATGAAAGATGAGCTTGTAGCATAAGCTCAGGACTGGGAGTCAGACTGTGTTTCCTTGCCGAGTTCTGCCACAGGCTTTAGGTAATCGTGAGCAAGTCTCTTCAGCTCCCTGTGTAGTAGGTGCCCCATCTAATTTTTTTTTTTTTTAAGAAAAGACTTGAGAAGATGATAATTTCTGCCTACTTCCCAGTGGTGCTACAAGTTTACATCACGGCTGTTCGTTTTGTGCTTTAAGACTGTCTGGCAAAATATTACATATAAGCACAAAATAACTTGAGAGAGGATGAACCATGTAGAGTTCATGCTTGCTAACCCCTGCATCGTGATGAAAAAAGTCTGGTGGTTTTAGCCTTTGTATGTATAACTAGCAAACAATTGGTAATGGCAAAGTAGGCGGCCCAGGGCAGGGTAATCAAAGGTCAGATTTCTTATGCCAGAGGTACATTGGTACAACAGAGCAGGAAAGTTTACCAAATACTGGTTAACCAACAGGAGAAGGGAAAAATTTTCGCCTCTTAAAAATTCAGATCTAGAGTCCACTCTGACAAGAACTTTGCCTTCATGGGTCAAGGATTGCACAGCAGAGGATTAATGACTAGCCCTGGGAACACATAAAGCTTATCGAATCACTGAAAGTCACCTTTGTTAGTGCATGCATTTATGTAAATAACAACAGAATGCAAATCAGAAAGCAGATCAGAAGCCATTTAAGGTTTTAATGAAAATCATGGGTGTCTTTACACATGCTCTGGGATGGAGGAGGGGAGGGTGCTTTAATTAGAGCAGCTCTAAGAGCCACTCTAATTAAAGCTCCTGCAGCATCACATGTATTCAGCACCCTGTGCTTCAAAATGGCAGTGGGGGTGCTTTAATAAAGCTCATTCAAGCTTTAGTTAAAGCCCCCCTGCTGCCACTTTGAAGCACAGGGATGATGAATACACATAATGCAGGGGGTGCTGGAGCATGCTAATTCACACTGTCTAGCAGACTTGACTGAGTCTGCTCTGACACATGCTAACTAGCACACAACGGAGCAGACATCTGGCATGTATATAGGTGCCCCACCCATATCTCTAACAAAGTGATCAGGAAGGAGAAGTGTTCAGTCACAGGAAGGGGAGTTTTTGAATCAAAACACATTTTAATAGTTGGGTGCTAGTGTTACCACCTCTTTTTAGGTGGGTATTTTCTCTCTTAAACCCAGATCTCAGGGTTTTAAAGACACGTTTTAACAAGAATATGAGGGCCAGAAAACTCACAGACAAACAAGTCACTTGAAAGATCTGGATCCTTTCCATCTCACTTCTTCACTCTGCATACATATTTGGTGAGAAGGCCAAAAAAAAGTGGCAAAGACATCTGTGTTCTCCGAGGGACATATAAACATTCTGCTGATTGGAAAACCAACTCTTTTTCTGTCACATAAGGTTTCCATACTGGTAAGAAAAGTCCCAGGCACCCAGTTCAGGGGCAATGCGTAGGGGGTGCACACGGGCACATTGCAACCCGAGCGTGGTGGTGCGCCCCCTACAAAAAGGTGCCGCCCACACTGTCAGTGGCGCCTGTGGGTGGTTGTCACTTGCCACCCCCCAGTCCCCACTGCTGACACCACCTGTGGTGTCTGTAGGCGGTCAGCGATCCCCACTGGCCACTGCTGCCAGCAGCGTCTGCAGGTGGTCACCGACCCCTGGTCAGCACTTACCACCCCTCTCATCCCCACTGCCACCCACAGTGCCAGCAGCGTCTGCGGGAGCTCCCTGCTTACTGCTACCGTGCTCCTGCCACCACCATGCCCCCGCAGCTGCCAGAGGCATGTGTCGTTCATGATCCAGTTAAACTATTACAAATCTACAATGAGGTCACTCAAGTTAATGAAGTTACCTTGAGTACAAATGAACACAACTTAGCTTGGAAACTACTGTCACATAAAGACAACTTACCAGCTCCAACCAATTCTAGCTGCATGACAGATTCTTTCATGCATTGTTAAGATCTGTTATGGGACACTATGATTTAGTTTCTTTCAGAGCCTGTTGAGGGCACCTTAATGTACCAGACAGGAGACAGAAACACACAGTACAGAAATGCACAGTATATAATGACATAGGGAAGAGGGGAATAGTAGTTTGAGGAGATCAGGTCAATACTCACAGGCAGAACCACAACTTTTGCACCTTTGGCTGTTGCTTCTCTTACTAGCCCACAGGCACGTTGCAGGTTTTCTGATTTGACAGACTGTACATTCAGCTGAATTAGTGCCAGACGGAAGTCTAATGACAGAGAAGATGAAATGAGCCAAAGCAACCCTAGTAAAACATGTCCCAGTTATACTAAATGGATTGGATGCCCTGGGCAGAGAGGGAGCCAAAAACTAGTCCCAGAAAAGAGGACGTGATCATGACCAGACAGGAAAAGACCATCTTCCACCTTTCGTCAGCATTTCAGCAGCCAAGCAAATAAGGGCCAAGGGGTAAATCCTAACTATGTTGCTGTTTACAGGGGCAACCAAGTAAACAGCTTCTCACTGCAATTGTATGCAACAGGCATGAAGTCAGTCAGAGAACTCATTTAGCAATGGTGGGAGTCTGTGGTTTTTCCAGAACTCCCTTTTTTCCTCTGGAAATTCAGAGAAAAATACTACATTGGAGAAATTAGCCACTGAAAGAAAGCCAGACTTTAAACCTTTGGATTCACATACCGAGCACATACAATATTGAACATGAATACCTTGACATGGGGTTTAAAAACCAAACCATGAGTGACTTAAGTTTTCTGTGCCACAGAAAGCAAAGCAGTGGGGCACCTTAGTGATTGACTGGTTCAGAAAGGCAACAGCTTCCTAGGCAACAGCCTACTTTGCCAACTTGCCCTGCTTCCTACCTGACTTTAGACTGCCACAGCTGACTACCTCTCTCTTTTTTTCTATGCCTCAGATTCTTAACTTGTTAAGAGCCCTTAGCCACTTTGTGGAGATTTAGGAGGCTTCATAAATAAGAGATATTTAAATGCGTTGCTCCCTTTAGATGGTAGAGTACAAGCAGAGAGGTAGGGGCTTACAGCAACTTTCTTGCAACATGTCTCTGCATTTGGTGCATTTTGAGCTTCTTCAGAAGACACATTTAAAGGCTTATTAGAAGACCCCAGCCTCCAGATCTGCCAGCAGCTTTCAGAGGCGAGTGCAAGTAACCTTGGGGCACTCCACTGCTTTGCCCATGTTGCGCACGCTCCAAAACACCCTTGTAGTTTACAAAAGCAGAATGATTCTGAGATCAGGCTTTTGGAAACATGTTGTGTGGACAAATAAGAGGAAAATGCTAGCAGAAATAAGCTCCCCTCTTACCCACCCGCAGGGACTGAGCAAACCAGGGTTCGGTTTTAGACCCTAAATGTTGCAGGCACACACAAGCACGCAAATAACCGAACAGGAGTGTCTGCTGAAGGCTCTGAAGGCAGTGACAAGTGTCGGGGTGGGGGTGAGGCACTTGGATCAGATCAGCAGGCTCTGCACCCTGTCTTTGGCAGCAGCCAGTTGTTAGCCTGGCACCCCCACTTCCCCCTTCCCGCACAGGCAAGCAAAGAGGAAGCCCTGGGGCTGGGGGAAGAGAGCAGGCCCCACCCTTTCCAGTCAGCCCTGAGCTCGCTTCCTTCTCCCTTCGGGGAATTGTGGCCTTGGCAGGGCAGAGAAGTCTTGTGTGTGTGTTTGTATGCCTGTATACAGTACCCGTGTGCATGCAGTGTGTGTGTGTGTGTGTGCGCGCGCGCGTGTGTGTAAAAGAAGCCAGGCACACTCCAGGAGCAGGGGAGCAAGAGCCCGGGGGTGTTAAAGCGGGAACCGCCCGGCAGCCCCAGAAAGCGCCCCGCGCCCGGCTACGGTCACTCACTCGCCATAGCTCCGCGTGCCAACAGCATCCTAATGGGACAGGGGGCGGGGCGGCGCATACCCAATGCGCCCCGGGAAGCCGGACAGCCCCGGGGCTGCTGGGAGCTGTAGTCCGCTGGCGGGCGGGGCGAGTGGAGAGGCAGACATGTGGTCTGCCCGGGCGGGGCGGTGACAGGCACGGGTGGCTGCCCGCAGTTTGAGCCTGAGGCTGTGGGAGACCCCCGGGCCCGTGCACTGTACGGGGCCCTCGGGCTAGTATCCTGGCCAAGCCGGGCACACAGTAGCCAGGCCTGGACGGGGAGTGGAGCCCGGCCTGGCCCGAGCCAGGCTGTGTACGCAGTCGCAGCCTGCAGGACAGCCGCAACCCTCGCGCACCGGCCCAAACCCTTGAGTCTCCCCATCAAGCTGAACAGGGGGATTTCACGTAGGAAGCCCGAGGCACAGGGACGGGCTGTGGACTCGGCCCCATGCAGCAGTAGGAGCAGCAGCACAAAGACCCTACTGCTACTCCATTAAGAACGAGTGAAATGAATTTACACAATGGGGTGTCACTAAAATTCAGCAAAGCAATACAAGGATACGTTGAGTCAAAGCAGGTCTAAGCGACAGGGATGTTATTCATAAACATCACCACAACCCATCTTTTAACAGGCAGGCGAGGTTCTTGCACTAGTTGTGATGTCTTTTACTAAACCAACTGAGCAGTTGGAAAAGAAAGTTCTTGGCAAGCTTTTGGGCACAGTCACCCTCCTTCAGGCATGGGGAAGTCTGCTGGTTGGGAGACCCCAAAGAAAGAGAGATGCTAAAAGTGTGGCAGGATATCAGTGAATGTGTAAATAGGAAGAACTAGAAAGACAAAAAGTGAGGCAGAGGGGGAAGAGCAGGGAAGAAAAGGCTGAAGGGAGGCAGTGGAGTGATAGAGTACAAGGTAAAAACGAGGCTGTCAGGCAGGTACCTGGTGAATCTGATGTCAGGGAGGTTGTAATATGTCATAAATCCGCTGTCTATATTGATTCCATGAGTTCTTGTATCCAGTAGATTTATGAAGCGCAGGTCATAGGCTCCTCTGCAGAAGGTGTTTTGTAAGTTCCTTTTAAGGACTGTAAGTGAGAGATCAGAGAGGGAGCGATTGTGCTGTGAGATGTGTCCCCACAGGCAGTTGGGTATTCTTGTCTTTGATAGATTTTCAGTGTGCATTCATTCTGGTGCACAGTTGTTGTTTGGTTTCACCAACATTTTCCCTCAGGGCATTTGGTACACTGGATGAGCTATATTACATTTCTGGAGGTGCAGGTATAGGATCCAGGAAAGGTGATGGTTCTGTTGTGGGGTGTAGTAATTGTGGGGGTGGTGGAGATATGTTTGCAGGTTTTGCATTTCTTGTCCTGGCATTGGCAAATGGAACCAGATCATGCCAGGACAAGAAATACAAAACTTGCCTCTCTCTCTTCCCTTGCGGGGGGTCTCAGAACAGCAGAGACTCCCCATGCGTGAAGAAGGGTGATTGCACCTAAAAGCTTGCTAAGAACTTTTTTCCAACTACTCAGTTCATCTAATAAAAGATGTCACATGTACTCAAAGCACCTTGCCTGCCTATGTCCTTAGACCAACATGGCTACTACCAAAACCCAGCATCTTTTAACAGGGCACTTTCAACTTCAGACTCCTGTTTTCAAAGGATCCCATGCTCCACAGGTTCCCAAGCAGATGAGTTTAATTAACCCTAAAGCCAAGTGCTATGCTTTTAGCCAGGTCCCTCCTGTCCCTGCATTGTTCTCAGCTTTTAAAGCATGTCTTTCATTGGAAGAATCGTCTTTTAGGCTAAAAAATAAATTGTCAAGGGAAAGCAGATCTTTGTCATCCAATGTTTCTCTATAGAAAACACTGTTAGATGTTAAAATAAAATAAAAAACAAACACTACAAAGATGTGATCTTTGCCAAAGGCCAAAACTGCATCGCCTACTATCCAGGAATTCCTGTCTTATACACACACAGAAGACACATACCTTTTTATTTTTCATTTTAAGTTACTTCAAAAATTTATTTTGTCTTCTAGGTTTCAAGATCATTTCAGGTGTTTTTGTTGTTGTTGTTTTGTTTGTTTGTTTTTTACTTAACTCTGCTGTTTATCACTTGCATGATAAAAAAATACAACATGCTTTAACCCACATAGCTAGAAGTACAAAACATCTTGCTTAGGTCACATCAATGGAAAAAGATGTTCAATTTTTTATATAGCAATATACATCTAGCACACAGAACCATCCTATCATTCAGCATATTTGTCAATATGGTCTGAAAAGGTGATGTTGCAGTTCAGATGGCAAGGGTAGGAATACATAGCATGGTACAGACACCTACTTAGGAGGACTGCCATAAGAAACCCACAAGTGCAAGGTCCACTTATATAATAGCGCACAGGTCCACTTATAAGATAATAATGCCTGAAGGGGAAAAAAAAGGGCTTGGAAACAGAACTTGAACACAGAAGGGTTGAAAGCCTGAACTTCAAACATTATTTTTCCCCCTCAACAACACAAGTCATTACAGAGTAGGTGTCAAAAGTCTACAGATTTTTAAATAATATTTCTATATTAAAATAGGAAAGATACAAGTATTTCAATACTTTTGAAGAAACATTTGAAAATATTGTTCATATAAAATGTAACACTGTTGAGCAGACTTGGAAAGATGTATAAAAGTATACAAAGTTAGGGTTGGAAGAGACCTCAGGAGGTCATCTAGTCCAACCCCCTGTTCAAACAGGACCATCCCCAACTAGATCATCCCAGGCAGAGTTTGGTTAGCCGGGTCTTGAAAGTCTCCAGGGATGGATCTTCCACCACCTCTCTGAGTAACCTGTTGCAGTGTTTTACTACCCTCCTAGTGAGACCATTCTTCCTAATATCCAACCTAAACTTCCCTTGCTGCAACTTGAGATGGATGCTCCTTTTTCTGTCATCTGCCACCACTGAGAACAGTCTAGCTCCATCTTTTTTTCAACCTCACTTCAGGTAGTTGAAGCCTGCTATTAAGTCCCCTCTCAGTCTCTTCTCTAGACTAAGTAAGCCCAGTTCCCTCAAACTCTCCTTGTAAGTCATGTGCCCCAGCGCCCAAACCATTTTTGTCATCCTCCAATGGACACTCTCCCAATTTGTCCAGACCCTTTGTCAAACCTGAACACAGTACTCCAGATGTGGCTTCACCAGTGCTGAAGAGAGGGGAATAATCACTTCTTTTGGCCTACTGGCAACACATCTACCAATGCAGCCCACTATGCTGTTAGTCTTCTTGGCAACAAGGGCACACTGTTGACTCATATTCAGCTTATTGTCCACTGTAACCCCCAGGCCCTTTTCTGCAGAGCTGCTGCCCAGCCAGTCAGCCCCCAGTCTGTATCAGTGCACGGGACTGTTCCATCCAAAGTGCAGGACTTTGCACTTGTTCTTGTTGTACCTCATGAGATTCCTTTTGGCCCAATCCTGCATTTTGTCTAGGTCCCTTTGAATCCTAGCCCTACCCTCCAATATATGTACTACTCTCCCAAGCTTGGTGTCATCTGCAAACTTGCCGAGGATGCACGCCATGCCATCTTTCAGGTCACTGATGGAGACACTGAACAAAACCAGCCCCAGGATTGACCCCTGGGGCACTCCACTTGCTACCAGCTGCCAACTAGTCATTGAACTATTGATTACTACTCTGAGCCCAATGCTCCAGCCAGTTTTCTATCCAGCTTACAGTCCGTTCATCCAGTCCATACTTCCTTAGCTTGCCTGTGAGAACGTTGTGGGAGACCATATCAAAAGCCTTGCTAAAATCAAGGTACACCACGTCCACTAGTCTCCCTGCATCCACAGAGCCAGTCACCTCATCACAGAAGGCAATCAGGTTGGTAAGGCATGACTTGCCCCCGATGAATCTATGCTGACTGTTCCTAATCACCTTCTTTTCCTCCAAATGCTTAGAAATGGATTCGTTGAGGATCTGCTCCATGATTTTTCCAGGGACTGAGGTGAGGTTGACTGATCTGTAGTTTCCTGGATGTGCCTTCTTCCCTTTCTTAAACATGGGCACTATGCTTGCCCTTTTCCTATCATCTGGGACTTCTCCTGATTGCCATGTGTTTTCAAAGACGATGGCCAATAGCTCCACAATTCCATCAACCAACTCCCTCAGCACCCTCAGGGTGCTTGTAGATTTCCAGGTTTTCTAAGCAGCCCCCTAACCTGTTCTTTCACCACTGAGGGCTGATCACCTCCTCCCCAAACCCTGCTGCTCAGTGCAGTAGTCTGGGAGCTGACCTTGCCTATGAAGACCGAGGCAAAAAAGGCATTGAGCACTTCAGCCTTTTCTGCACCCTCTGTCTCAAGGTTGCCTCTCCCATTCAGTAAAAGACCCACAGTTTTGCTGATTCTCCACTTGCTACCACCATACTTGTAGAAACCCTTCTTGTTACCCTTCACATCCCTTGCTAGCTGCAACTCCAGTTCTGCTTTGGCCTTCCTGGCATACCCAGATTAGAAGCCTAACTGAAAGAGCAGTAATGAATCTCTTATTAACTCTTAAGATGACAAAATAAGAGTGTGTTTGTACTTTGCTTATCTGTGGAGATAATGCAGTATTAGGAATAATTTGTGCATATAATTTTATGGATGTTAGGCCCATTGGGTTATGCATGAAGACTTAAAACACATGCATAAAAATCTGTGGGACTGAAGACAACATATAATTATTAGTGTTCTTGGTGCTTCCATGGGAATAGAAGGTCCTGAATATTAATTTTGTCTTGGAGGCTGGCTTAAAGAAAAATATTCCTGGAAGAATAATCAAATGTGTGAGAGAAATAATTAAGAAAGCATAAAAACTAGTTGCTGATCCAGACTTCATAAAAGAAAATGGAGATCCTCCAAATAAGAAAAAAAATATTAAAGGAGTAAAGTTCTGAGATTTTTTACAATGACTTCAGCATGATCACCAAAAGAGAATGAAATAAAACAGAAAATGAAAGAAGTTTCAATTTATCTCCAGGATCACTAGTGATTAGACATGCAACAATTGTATCAATACCAGAAA